CGTTTTGGACAGTGGGAGCGGCGGAAAAGAAAAGGTTAGAAGCGTTCGAAATGTGGTGTTATAGGCGGATGATGAGGATATCGTGGGTAGAAAAGGTTAGAAATGAAGAGGTATTGGAAAGAATAGGAGAACAGAGGACTCTATGGAAGACAATAAAAAATAGGCGAGATAGATTGGTAGGACACCTTCTCAGGCATGAAGGTCTAGTCAGAGACATATTAGAGGCAGAAACAGGAGTTAGGAGGGGTAGAGGTAGACCTAGATTAGATTACTGTTTACAAATAGTTAAGGATGTGGGCTGTTCTAGTTTTGGGGAAATGCGAAGTTTAGCTCAGGATAGGAAAGAGTGGAGGTACGTGTCCAACCAGTCTGAGGACTGATGACCTTATGATGATGATGACAATATTTTGACGGCTTTTTTCGTTATTTTCCAGGTTCCAATCAAATTCGATTTCTAATATTAATATTTACACGTAAAGTTTATAAACAACAATTAATTATGATTCAGTGAGGCTTAACGTTAGGAAGGGTAAAATAGGAAAACAAGAAATAGCAATTAGATAGGTATTTGCAGCCCCTTCCACTGTTCCAATCTTTAGTCTACCTGTTTTTGTTGTTGTGTGCGCTTCGTTGTTCCATTTTAAAATTATCGATTATCCCATAATTTACTCTTCATGAAATTGGTAAACGCCAATTAAAATGGAAAGCTGGAAAAATCCGTCATGAAATAAAGAGTAAGCTACAATTAATGTGTCACCGCAACGAAACAATTTGTTTTATAACTACAACACAAAAAATTACATGTGTTGCGTGAATAAAGTACAATTTTTAATTGCGGTTAAAGTGGCTAACAATATTAAACAAAAAATCTTCTTCATAGGTCCTTCCACCTCAACATCTTGCATCGGAAATTTATTATGTTACAATTAGTTGTTACTATCTCGAATTTATTATGTAACCTAGCAAACAAAATGGGTTCACCACGAATGACCTCGGCTAATGAGGCACCAGATTAATTACGCGGACATTCGGGAGAATTGTGTACATTTCGGGATGCCACTGGATAAATACACGATTTTCAACTGGATGTAAAAGAAATTTAATTAAAATTTGATTGTATAATCCTGTGTACATACGTTGGCAAGGACAACTACCTGAAAGCTTTAAAAACGTATTAAGAACCGAGTTTTTTTCACAGCGAAAATGTAAAATATTAATATTTTATCTTTGGTAAACTTAAAAAACATTGGGGTCGTGGTACGGTGAACTTTTCGATATTTTTGATTTTTCTGCTCATCAATATAGGTACAGGCCTGACGAAGGAAGCTGGCGAGCGGTCGCGCAGATACTTGCCCATTTATGACCTATTTGGGCAAGTCACTTGGAACCGATACACAAATAAGCTTTCAGTAGGCGTAAATTATAGTATTAATACAGATAGGACAGTAGCGTACTAGAAAATAATGTAAAAACATGACTTACCAAAAAGAAAAAATAAACCTATTGCATTTGTTTTATAGTTAGTTTTTACATTCACTGTCATAATGGGAATCTCTATCACTGTCATCAACATCAACAATTAGTTCTTTTGTTTGTCTGTCTATTACTTGCTCACTGATCCCTATTTTTAAGTATTTAATCTACGCCCCTGATAGGAATACTGAAGAAAGAGGGCTGCAATCTTTATACCTAAAACTGCTTATTTTTGCCACCGCGCATCCACACCATTTTAAAATTTCCGCCAGCTTCCAGCGTCAAGCCTGTACATATATGCAAGTTTGATTGATAACAACACATATCATAGGCATTGAGATATACTATATAAAAAGGAAAAAGAGAGTTGATAGAAGATGAACCATGAACTAATGGCTACCAAGGGAATAATTAAGAAAAAAACCTTCACGGAAGTAAAAACGACATCAGGAATCATTGGCGTCTTGTCTATTGGGTATCGATATAAAATAATCAAAATTACAGCCGACGAGAGTTTGGTGTTTGAGTATCACCTAAAAGTCAAAAAGGACATATTTGGGTCCCTCCAAAGTCAAAAAATAGAAAAATCAAACACATGCTTCTTTGATAGCCTGGAAAATCTTCCAAAAAAAGTTTCTGCCTCAGGGTCAGACAGTTAATCAACACTTTTACTTACTGAGAGGTTCTTCAAAGACTCCGAAAAACTTGCTTGTCAAAAACAAATTTTGGATCATTACAATGAGTCTTGTTATACGACAATTTCAATGAACAAATTTTTGACCAGTAGAAACATTCCTATGGTTAGGTTTTCTCTTGACATGGGTCCTTGTCATTTCTTTATTTTCCCAAGACTGAAAATTTGCAACAAACAACGTATTTTAAACGAGTGTAATAACCGAACAACCATTTCAGAATCCGAGTCCAAGCTCTGCTAGAAGGAGTGGAAAATCCGTCCAAAATGCACCTTGCATTTCAATTAGGAAAATTGAAACTCTTTAATTGTAAGAAAGATACCTACACATAAGTAACATAGTTGGGATTCCGTAGAACAGATATACGTTTAATACCATTTATTTTTTGGTTTGTATTAAATTTCTCTTAAATATAATTAAATATGGCGTATCCCTAGACAAATTTTTCTGTCTCTCAGAGTCTTTCAGAGTCTTTCAGCGTCTCTGAGAGCGTCTCTCACAGACTTTCACAGTCTCTCAGTTATTGTCTAGGTGTTATGGATCTTTCACAGTCTCTGTACGAGAGACTCAAACGATAAAATTGTTAATTCAGAGATTCGAGTCTCTCACAGAGAGACTGAATAAATAAAACTGAAAAATTGAGAGACTCGAGTATCTCGTAGAAAGACTGCTATCTCTGAAATATTTTGAACTTTTTAACCATGTCTATCGAGATACCACTTATTGAGAGATTCTCTCGTTCAGAGCCGCTAAACAGTTTTTTTGACAGTCTCTCTCAGCGACACCAGAGAGACTCGATGAGAGACGGAGATTGGAGTCTCGCTTTCAGAGACTCTGAGAGACTGAACATTTTTATCTGGGGATGAAGTGAGCCCCTATCCTATCCTACCCTTATATACGATTGGATCGACTTTAAACCAGGGTCATTATAATGAAATCGACAGATCGCGCTTTCCCTTTTGTCCTTCGTTTTAGATTTAGATGAAAGAGAAATATTATTGCCGTAATTCCGTCTAACTCCCAATCGATGTCCGAAAGCGTCCCGTCGCCGCTTGGTCATATCATATTTCATAAAAATGCCCCGTCAGCTGCAAGTCAAGCAAAGAGGGAGAAATACGCGGTAGTTCCCGTTTTCCCGTTTCCGACGGTAAAAGGAAACACTGCCACATTGTATTTGCACGTTTTTTAATTAAAAAGGACCTGTTTCCAAACACCGTACCTACCACGTCCGTCCATCTGTTGGCTGTCACTGTTTGGCTTTCGGCGGAATTTTAATTATGTAGATTGCCGACCAATTTTCCGAATATCTTACAGCCAGCGTCAGGCTCAGTCGAAATCATTTCCAAACAGGCTTCTCTCGGAAAATTATTTGAAATGATGACGCATTCGTCGAAAAAAACCGCTCTCCATAAAGTTAATTCAACCTACACGTCCGCGAACTGATGCGAATTCCCTAATCAACACATCCATACACAAGCACGTAATGAAAAACAAAAATATGTTTAAAAATGTATCTACAGCAACAACTACTCAACCGAATGACCAAAATAAAAATCTCTACATATCAGTATTGCTTCCATTTATACACAAGTACGTAATGAAAAAAAAATATATATTTTTAAAAATCTACAGAATTTTGAGGGGTGCAGGTAGGGACCCTAAGTGGGTAGTCACACTACTTCTTGTGGGCCCCATGAGGTTGCATCATGGGGCAAGAAAGAGGCATATAACGCCTTGTCGCGTTTGCCCATCATCGGGAATGTCGCATGTGGATTATTGTCACCCCATTAAAACTTTTTGGAAAAATTAATTTTATTATTAA